GCTGGTGGTGGGCGCTGCTGTGCAGCTGCTGCGGGCCCGCGCTGTGGCCGCCCCCCTCTCCTGTCGCCGCCACCGTGGCCGGGGGGACGCTGCTGAGGGACCTCGGGAGCCCGGGACGCACGGAGCCGCCGCCGCCGACCTCTGGCTTCCTGTACCGGCGGCTCAAGACGCACGAGAAGCAGGAGATGCAGAAGGAGATCCTGTCGGTGCTGGGGCTCCCGCACCGGCCCCGGCCCCTGCGCGGCCTGCAGCCCCTGCCGCCCCCCGCGCTCCCGCAGCCTGGTGGGGAGCCCCCTCCCGGGGGACTGAAGTCCGCGCCCCTCTTCATGCTGGACTTGTACAACAGTCTGTCGGCCTCCGCCGACGAAGACCTGGCGCGGGATGTGGAGAGGCTGCCGACCGAGTCCCGCGGAGGGGCCGGCGCGCCTCAGCCCTGGCCACCCGCCCCCGGCACCCAGCCGCCCCTTCCCCGCAAGACTCTTCCACCCCAGGGGCCTGGCGGCACGCCCGCCCTGGCCAGTGCACAGGACAGCGCCTTCCTCAACGACGCGGACATGGTCATGAGCTTCGTGAACCTGGGTAAGGAGTCCGGTGGCTCTCGGTGTGGAGGGGTAAGGTCACCTCTCTCTTGGGCAGGGGCAGGTGGGGGCAGGACCTGCGAGCTGAGCTCCAGCAGCCTGCAGACCTGCGGACAGTGTGCTACAGGGGGTGCAGAGCAGCAAGACTTGGCTGGGCCCCCGAAGGTCCGTGGGTAGCTCTACCGAGGTGGCCAGAGCCCATCTGCAAGGAAGAAACCTTTGTACACGGCCACCCGGCGCTCTCCCAGCACCCCGAGGCTGTACGGGAGCCCCTCAACGCCGACTCCCAGCTGCTGCCAAGTTGGTAAACTTAAGGTGCGAGTAGGGTAGGATCCTGCGCCGAGCAGGGCTGGGACGCGCCGGGGAGCCAGAGAAGGCGAGCCAGTCCGCGGTTTGGGGGGCTGGCGCCCCATGGGAGTCACCCAGCCAGTGCCTCCCGCCCTCTGGCCGTATGGAAGGCTGAATTTGGAGAAACCGGCCAGCAGGGCAGGGAAAGGGTGCGCCGGCCACGCTGGGCTCGCGTTGCCAGGCGACAGAATGGAAATTCAAGGCAGCTAAATCGGGCTCTCCGCAGACTTGCGGTAGGAGGCGCCTGCCCTGTGTTGGCCCTAAAGGGGACCTGGGGGGACTTTCCAGAACCGGGTCCTCCAGTGGCCACTACTCTGAACTCCTGTGGGGACAAAGGGCCAGTCGTGCTGGGGGAGGGAGTGCGGCCCTCTTGCCAGCCTGGAGGGACAGGCAGTTTTGGGAGGCCTGTCCTGGGGGAGATGGCCTCCTCCTAAGGAGGGTGAGACCCCAGGGGGCACATCTCCAAGAACCCCTTCCCCCAACATCTCAGTAGTCTTTGGGGCGCAGTGTTTATCTGAACGGTTCCCATAGAAAAACACTTGGGGTGTGTTTGTCTATCAGGGGTCCCAAACTGCCAGGGGCAGGGGGAGGGAAGGAGGGAGGCAGGGAGGGGCTGCCCCAGCTGGCTCCCCAGAAATCCTCCTGGGAACACTAAGGGGGGGGCAGGGCTGCTTCCTGGACAGCAGTTCCGGGCTCATAGGTTCAGTCACCTCCAGGGCGTGTTCTGGGACATTCTCCAGCTGGGCGGAAAGGGAGGGGTACAGAGGCCCTGCCTGCGCCTCAGCTCACCTCCTGCCCACCCCCACCTCTGCCCTCTCCCTCCCCAGACCTTGGGTCACCCAGAATCTCTGGGCAGGTTCCCTGGCCTCCTGGGGGTTGCCAGCCCCTCTGGACAGAAGGTGCTCTGCATGTCTCCATGGAGACCGGTGGTGTCCTAGGCAGTTTCTGCCCATCAGCACCCCGGACACTCATGAGTGGGGTGTTCTGGCCTGCTGAAAGTGACTGGGGTGTTCCTGCCGTGCCACTGAAGGCTGTCCAGCATGGATGGAGCCACCCTTGGAAGTGGTCCTGTTCATGTATTTCTGAAGCTCTGGAACACCAGCCACCCCAAGGGGACTCGCCCGGGGTTCTCTCAGGCCAGGCTGGGGGCCACAGAGAGGCTGCTGGGCAGGGAGCGAGCCCTGGGAGGGCGGTGGCTTTGGGGGGTGCACCCTGAATGACAGGTAGTGTCCTTGCTGATGGCCCCCTGCCTGTTGGGCGCCCCCTCGTGGTGGGGGTCAAGGAGTGAGGGGACCAGGTCTACCATGCTGAGAGTACAGAACGCCGGAGGGGGGACTGGCTGTGGGGGGGGGGCTCCATCAGCAAGGATGAGGGGGAGTCAGGCACCAGCCTCCATGGGGGCACGTTTGTGCACTCCGGGGGTGATGCCAGGACCCCGTGTTCTCCGGTAGCTGGTGGGGGACGGGCGCCCTGGGGTGTTGCCAGTCTGTGGCTTGTGACCACTGCACTCACGGCTGCCCCAGCGTGTGGTGGTGTTTCATATGAGCAGCGTCTCGGCAGCCTCGGGTGCACACCAGCCAGCTGTGACCTTGGAGGGGCCCTTCCCGCTGCCGCTGGCCGGCACCTTCGAGCTCTGTGTTGGCGAGTCTGCAGCATCCTGCTGCACCCCGCTGCACCCCGCTGCACCCCTCCTTTCCTCTGTTGCTTATCAGGACAGAAGGTGCTCTGACGTCTCCATAGAGACGTTTTCTCTTTCTCTCTCTATTTTTTAAGATTTATTTACGCATACACAACTGGGGTACAGACCAGAGGTGCAGGGATACTGAGAGGATTCACCAGAGACAGAGCAGGGAGCAGAACAGGCCGACTGGGGAAGTACACTGCTGACGGGAGCAGCGGGCGGGTCAGGAGGTCTGCCGCGCCCTGTGGGTCACCTCCCGGGTGGGGATTGAACTCGTGCTGCTGTGGCTGCTGAGAGCTTCATAACGCTGTTTTTTAACCCGCTGCACCACCAGGGAGGGCCCTGCGTTCTCTCTTTTAAACTTGCTCACTCGTCTACCCTGGGTGATGTCTGTCTCCAGTACACCAGCTTCTTCACGCTGGCTCCCAGTCACCCCAGCTTACTCGTGCCAGACCCCGTATACCAGCCCCCCAATACACCCCAGCTTCTTTATGCTGGCCCCCAGTGCATCCCAGCTTCTTCATGCTGGCTCCTCAGTGTACCCCAGCTTCTTCACCAGCCCCAGAAGCACCCCAACTTCTTCGTGGCAGACCCCAGTGGCACCCTGCTTACTCATGGCTGCCCCTTAATGCCCCCTGGCCTCCTCGTGCCACTCCAGCCAGGCTGGGGACTGGGTGGGGTCCCCTCCAGAGGCTGAGCACATGGTGCAGCTGACGGCCTGCGCTGGAGGCCACGTCCTGTGGCTGCATCCACACGGCTGCTCTGGCCAGCGCATCCCAGTGCATGGTGTCCGGAGCCCCCCACCCAGATCTCCCTGCACTCTGACCTGTAGCCAGCCAAGTGTAGCTCCAGGCCACGCTGGGGTGAGCGGTCCCAGTCCGACTGGGGGGCAGCAGGCGCCGTGTCAGTCAGCTGCCGGGCAGAGGTTACAGCAGCAGGGTGTCCGGCTGTCCGGCCAGGGCTGTGGCTGGGCTGGGGGCTCAGTGACTCCTGCCTGCACTGTGCCCCAAAGGGGGCCTGAAGCATTGGGCACTGGTGTGGCCCCTGAGGTGGCGCTGGGCAGCGAGGGGACACCCTCGCTGACGAGGCTGCAGGACACCCACAGGGCTTGAACCAGGCATGGAGGTGTTAGGGTCATGGGCTGCTCTGGGGCCTGGGCGTGGCCTCTGTGTTCCCCTGAGCGGTGCTGAGTCATGGCCACTACGTCAGGGGGCTCATGGCTCGCGGATGGGGTGATGCAGCACCAACAGTTGGGGCGCCACAGACCCCATGGGCAAGCGAGGGATCCCCACACCACCCATGCTGGGGTCCTGCCTGTGGGGACTCAGATTCGCCTCCTGCTTCCTGTGGGCTCCTGCCAGGTGTCCCCAGGACAGCACAACCGGCGCCCCTCTCCCTGTGTCCCCGAGAGTGGGTGCCTTGCTGGGCTCCCCCTGCCGCTGGCTGCAGTTCCCCCGTCCCGTCCCAGGCCCAAGCCCCCACCCCTGTCCCCCTCTGACCCTGCTCTGGGGAACCTGGGAGCCCCGTCCCCCCGGAGCCTGTGTGGGGCAGGATCGTGCACAGCACAAAACCATCCTCCCCCTGAAGTCCGGCGCAGCTCCTCATTCAGCAAGTCCCCGGCTCCGGCTGCTGCTCCCCGAGAGGTGATCACTCCCTCACCCAGGCCCGACTGTCAGCTTGGGGTGCCTGAGCAGCGAGGCATGGGCCACTGGACACCGGGATGAGATTCTGTCCTGTGAGTCACTTTTCTGGAGAAATGTGTCCCCCCCGGCTGACGGGGGGCCCAGCATGTCTACTGCCCACACCCGGACTGTCCAGAGGGGCAGTGGCTCCTGTTAGTTGCGTGTTCAGGGGCTGCTGGGCCTAGGCACCGGGCCACCCTCAGACTTTGCATGTGGCCAGAGGGCCAAGGGGGGTTGCATTGTGGGGCTTGGGAGCAGGGGGATCCTGCAGCCCCCCTGGACATGCTGGGCCTCTAAGCCAGTTCTGGGTGCTCCCCCTTAACTTCCCTCCCTGGGCCTGGGCCTGGGCGTGGGCCCTGACCAGACACTGGGGCTGTGGCTGCAGACTGCCCTCCAGCGGCCAGGGCAGTGGCTGACTAGCTGTGCTGGCCACCCCCACCGTCCCCGCCTTTAGCTTGTTTTCTTGTCGGCCAGCGGGTGGGTGGGGTGCAGGCCACCGCCCGCTGACCCCTGGCGTCCGCCTCATCCTCTTGTGGACGCGGCTGCCCTTGCCCTTTTCACCTCAGCCAGAAAGCGCCGGCCGGCCCGCCATCCGCCTCTGCTGATTGTCCCTGTGTTGACCAGCGCGGCTTCCTGTCCGGCCGAGCCGTGATCTCCGCCCGGTGCCTGACCCCTGCGCCAGCTGCCTGGACCAGGCGGTTGGCGTTTCCTCAAGGGCTCTCTGTGGGGCAGTAGAGAGGGCGAAGTTCAGCCCAGGGGATGGAGCACCTGCCCTGACCGCCCAGCGCCCCACCAGTTGCTGCACTGAGCAGCCTCTGGGACCGGCCCCGCATGTGCTGGCCAGGACGGTGGTGGGCCCGCACCTTGCCTTGGGCCCGTGAGGGCCAAGCTCGGGCCACTGTGTGAGACCCCCAGATGGACAGTGCTGGCTCCAAGTCCGGCCGGCCCACGCTCCCTGCGCTCCATCTCTGTGGACCCCCGGGTAGGGGCTAGGGGATGCAGGAGACCTGCAGGGATCCCATGTGGGGTTTGGCTGGAATTTGGGGGGTGCTGGGAGGACTGTTCTTTCTGACAGGATGTGAAGGGTGGCTTTCTCACAGAAGTGGGGCTGGAGACGACGCCCATCAGTGCCCTGGGTGATCATAGGGACAGTACCCGGAGACCGTGTGGAGCAGGCAAAACACTAAGCTCATGGGCCGTGCCAATCAGTGTCTCCAGGGGTCAGAGAGGCCTCCGCGTGCAGCGGGGTACTGAGAAGGGGTGCTGACCACAAGCAGTGCCCAAGTACAG